GATGGTGTGTGAAAATATTTGATTGATTTACTTTTAAAGATCATCCTTTTTTGTTTGTTTCTGGGGTAACATTGGTTTGCAGCACTGTATATGATTCAGAGGAATAGCTTCACATCTCTTCAGATGTACATCACTCCCCACTCCCCACCAGAGAACCCATATCCCTTTACCATATGCCATTGGACCCTCCCTAATTCATTTTGTCCCCACCACCCCACCCCCCACCAGTAGGCTCAATTCTGCAGTAAAGTTTTTAGGTTTTGTTTTGGTTGAATTTTTGTCATTTCAGTTCTTTTTTTTCTTTCTCTATATTCCACATCGGAATGAAATCATCTGGTATTTGTCTTTCTCCCTCTGGCTTATTTTATTTAGCACAATCCTCTCTAGTTCTATCTATGTTGTTGTCAATGGCAAGAGTTCAATAGCTGGGTAGTATTCCAGCACATACACATGTTACACCTTAATCCAATCATCTGTTCTTGGACACTAGAATTGTTTCCATAACTTGGTTACTGTGAGTGGTGCTGCCATAAATGCCGGGGACCAGCCTCTGCAAACTGTCGTGTCAGGGGTTCCTGAAGGGTGGGATGGCGCCGGCGCAATTGTGGAAATGAGGAGTGGGGGGGGTGGAGTGAGGAGACGCAAACACTTGATCAGGGAGCAGACATCATCCAGCGGAGGGTCTCAGCAGCCCTTTATTTATACATTTCAAGCAGGAAGATGGGCCTCCCCGGTGGCGCAGTGGTTGAGCGCTGGGTTGCTGAAGCTGCCCGCAGCCTCTGCAGTGCTGGTTCCATCCCCGGCTGCTCCCCGGCCACCAGAGGAGGGTCCCACATGGCGCGCAGACCTCTCCTGCCGCCCGCTGCTCCCCTCAGCAGTGTACTTCGGTCCTTCTGCCTGCTCTGCTCCCCGCTCTGGCTCTGGTGAATTCTCTCACCCACCCACACTTCTGACTGTACCCAGTGCTTGTATAAATAAATAAATCTTTCAAAAAAAAAAAAAAAAAAAGGCAGGGAGATAACAATCAACACATCTTTCACAAGAACAGCTAAGGATATATTTGCCCTCCTGCAGAGGTCATGACATTTATTATTCTTTGATTTAAAGAAGGCACAGTGCTAAACAAAAGTGTTCTTAGAATAGTCATTTACCTTAAACAGTCATTTTATCACTAGCAAAAAGCTTATGTGACTGAAACTAACATTTCTATGTTTGCCATAGTGAACGATTAAGGGCTAGGGGAAGCAAAGCACAGGAAGTTACCTGGGGGAAGGGAGATAAAGGGATTTTTTTCTAACTAACCTATAAAGTTTAGACTAACATATAACCATATGATTAAAGCAAAAAACAGAAGGCTTTCATATAAAAATCATCATCTAATAATGTATTGTTTTAATAAGATAATTGATTTAATATTAAGGAACCAAGGGGCTGAAGGGCATCAGTGCTGGGCAGGCTGCATAGACTTTTCCCTAGCCCCAAGCCTTTAATTAAGGGAGGAATTTTCCTAATCTAACAAAAGTTTTTTTTTTTTTTTTTTTTTTTTTTACCTATTACTCCTCTACTTATCTAGTCAGCCTAGTTTCTGTATCTAACTTTAAGATCAAGGGGAAATTCCTTTTTCTGTAAGATTGCTGATTGTTGTTTCAAGGAACTACAAATATTTCATTGGAGGCATACTCTAACAGCTACCATACCAACTGTCACCTCCAGGGGAGTCAGCCTAAACAAACAGGAAGAATTTAGCAGGAGTTTGCTATGGTGCCTCCTTGCTTATTAGGAATTTTCTTAGACTTGGAGCGTGGCTCGCGTCTGCCACCCACTGCCATCTTTATTTATTTATTTATTTTTTAAATATATGAATTTTTTTTTAAAGATTTATTTATTTATTTATTTATACAAGCACTGGGTACAGTCAGAAGAGTGGGAGGGTGAGAGAATTCACCAGAGCCAGAGCAGGGAGCAGAGCAGGCAGCAGAGCAGGCAGAAGGACCTAAGTACACTGCTGAAGAATTTCCTTCTCCATTTAGCCCTTGCCTCAAAAGACCACATATCCACATTAAAGACTTGGCCAAGGGATGTTTACAGCCTTTTGTTCCCAGAAGTTTTTTCACTTGTTAATGTAAGGCCGAATGTTGAATTACTGCCTTTTGGCAGAGAATTACTAATTTTATAAAAAAATGTAATATTTGTATCACGCAGTGCCATTTGCCATCAAATTGTTTTTTCAGTAATTGATCAAACAGCATTTGCAGTTTTGCCTTTAAATGCATATTTTAACAATGGTAGAAACTAGCCATAAACAAATGAGGAGAATCTAGCAGGAGTCAGCTAGAGATTCCTGACTTTTCAGGAATCTGCCCCATGCCTGGGGACCACCCTGTTACAAGGCAACATGAGTAGCGTGGCTCCCAGCACATAAACATACTGCGGCATGTATCCCTCAGAATTAGTGGATAATACCAAATAGTGGAATTTGGATAACACCAAGTAGTGGAATTGTTAGATCAATTTTTTTTTTTTTTTTTTTTAATATTTCGAGACTCCTCTATATTACTTACCAGAGGGACTGGACCAGTCTATATTTCTACCAATAAAGAACTTTTTTATCTCTACACCCTTTGTTAATAGTTACAGATTTTGATCCTTCATTTGGATTTTGTGTGTGTGCGTGTGTGTGTGTGTGATGTCTTCCCGTGTACTTATCTTTGTCATATAATAGCCATCCCTGTCTTTAGTTGCCTTTATTAGGTGGAAATTTATCTGACATAGGTTTGGCTGTCACAACCCTTCTTTGTGTCCCATTTGCTTACAGGATTGTTTTCCGTCCATTCACCATGAGCCTCAGTTTCTTTAGAACTTGCATGGATTTCTTGGAGATAACAGAAAGTTGCAAATTTCAATGTGTCTTGGTGTAATTTCATTAAATTTAGGTAACCAGCTATTTTTTTAGCTTCATGATTTACATATTTAATTCCTTCTCTGGGTGAGGGAAGTTTTCCTCTATCATTTCTTTGTATAGACTCTCTGCCTTCTCTGCTATTATCTCTACTGAGAACCCAATCTGTGTGAACCATTGGGCTCCTCTACAAGTCATTCCCCTCCTTCAAGGGTGTAAGCACTACACAACCTTTGATACCACCCCACCCCACCCCCACCTTCCCTCCAGATGCCCTGGCTGAATCAACAGTTCTGTCACCAACATCCTCTACTCCAAACCACAACCTCCGAGTTCCTCTTGATCACTTCTTCGATGTAGAATGATGAATCTCCTCAGTATTAAAGTCTGCACCGGTCTCTTGGAGGATAAAGGTTAATCAATTCCACTCCTATCCATGCAACTGAGTCTCAAACCTGTGTCCCTCTGGTTTGCTGCTCCAAGAGCCACTGTCAGTGGGGAGCCAGGCCTTGTCATTGGCTCTTATAACTGGCAGTTGGTGGTCAGGAGTGACTGGGCTTCTGCCTCTGATGGCTGGGTTCCATTCCATTGTTTTAATTTGCACTTAAGTGATTATTATAAGGTTGAACCGCTTTCAAATAATTACTGACCATTTATGTATCTTCCCTTGATAACTGCCCATCTTCCTTTTGGTATTAGGTATTTCAGAGCTTTTCATAAGAGGTTATACATATAAACACAGAAATTGTTTTATGTATTTTGTAGTTGTGTTTCAGTCTGTGCAATCTTCAGCTTGATTTTTTTTTTTTCTTAAAAAGTCTGAAGTTTAATGATCAACCTTTTTCCCTTGTTTATTTTTGCTTACATGTATGATAAGGCTTTTGATACATTAACATCAGTTATCCATTTATAATTTCTTTGTGGTTTCTAGGTTTACACTTTATTTATTTTGAATATATTCTAGCATAAAGTAGAACTATTAACCACTGCCCTCTGCTCTCATCTTTGGTGTGATGAGCTAGTCTTCTCAAGACCATTTACGGGATAATGTATTTTTTCTGCACTTTATTTAAAATGCTATCATCAGATGCTACATTTTATCTTATATATTGCCATTTCAAAATACTCATTTTTTTATTAAAGGTTTTATTAAAGGAACAGTCACTAGAGAGGTGTCGTATCATGGCTTGTGCATGTGAGAACTTATATAGGTAAGGCTATTACATAGGATGGTCATAGAATTATTGGGGCATATACAGTTGAATTTTCATTTTATTTGGGCCTATGATCATGTTTTCAATTTTCACAAAGACTATACCAAAGTTCAGCCTTTGAAAAATGTGTGTTTTTGATTGTCTGCCACCTGCCAGAGCTTTCTGTAGATCTTCTAGAATTAAATCACAGATTTTAAACCTCAAAGAGGGTATACCAGTTCAAGACTAATGAAGAACTACCCCTTAGCAATAATGGTTAAGTAAAATTTCTGTTGACTTTTAATATCTTGACTTTCAAAAGATGTTTTGAGAGGAACACAAACATTAACTACAACTCCTCCCCCCTCACCAAAAGCTACTGTACACATTTCTACTGATGACAGAAATCAGTGAGGTAGGAGCTCTATGACTCTAAGAACATTAAGTATTAAGTTTCCATGTGAAGAGTTTTTAAGTTCTAAGACATTTCAAAATCTACATTTAGTTGTTTTGCCTATCTGTCATGTAATAGGCAGTGCAAAGTATAGATAATGTTTTTACTTTAAATTAAATGTGTGCACTATAGATTTCATTTCTTCAAGACTTTCTTTCCATCAAAAATTTATCAGCCTTCTTTTACCATTATTTCCTAAAAGAATACTGCTTTTGACCAATTTACTGAGCCGCCCCAGGGTTTCCCATCCCATAATGTGTGATCTTCTTCACTTCAATAAGCATTAAACTCAACTTTGTTTAATTAAAGTTGTGTTCTAGTAGTCATTATCTGGAGGGCATTAGCAGAGTCACCTTCTGATAACTGACTAAATATTCTAGGTTAGACAGAAAAATAGCAGTTATTTTCTTTTATAAATAGACAAAAGCAACTCAGACAATAAACTACAGTTGGTTGAAAATGACTTTTAATATACTTAAGTAATAATGCATTCACATGTATATACATTCAGGAAGGTTTAGAAAAAAGGGTTTTATTTTTGACTTTTAAGGGAATAAATGTGCTTAGATTCCTTTTTAATAAAGATATGCTTTGACGGCAATGGAAAACAGTCAGCATCTATTCATCATTTCCCAACCAAAGCAATAAAATGTCTATGCCAACTCCAATAATGAAGACACCAGGGATATTTTAATAATGCCACAAAAAGTCTATGGAGTTATATAAAAAAGAAAAGGTATTTGGGGATTTTTCATATTCTACATCACCAGACAGAAAATGCAAATCTTCAGCTAAAGAATGATAGTAAATAGTTATCATTTTTATGTACTAGGTACTACATATACTTTACATATCGTCAGTATCATTTTTCCATTAATAAGTGCTCTATTCAGTCATCATATGCCATGAGATTGTGGCTTTCATTATTTATGGTTTCAGGCAGATAATTGTAAGTAGAGCAAGACAAATGTGAGATCCTAGACTTGGAAATTGTTAAAAATAATTTTCAGGATGTCATCAGATGCTAACGGTAGATCTATAGTGGCCAATTTTAAAGTGCATATTAGGATACAAAAAATCCTGAGGAAGGCTCGGTTTATCATATCACTGGTTAGCAGTTTTACAAATTCATAAAAATTAAGTTACTATCTCATCCAATCTCTTATAGGTTTCTTCGAAGAAAATGAACATGTTCTTCATCTGGGATGAATTGTGGAGAACATCCAAGTCGTTCAGAAGAGCATTCTTGTTTGGAATTAATGCCAAAATTTCTTCCTATGGGCATGATAGTACAATTATCTTTAAACATTTTATTATGAAAAATGTCAAAAGTATGTTATTTAGAGAGCTGGTATAATAAACTTCATGACCTATTACCCAACTTCAATAATCATCAATTCATTGACATTCTTCTTGCAAATTTATAATATTCTGTTTTCTCTCAGATTATTCCTGCTCCTCTCATCCTATTATTTCCTATTATAGCTAGGAAAGCTTTAATTTTTAAGTAGACATGAAGACTTCTACCACATAACGATTTTACAGTATCCCAGTAGACCCTTTGAAGAAAGATAAATTTTCGGGATACAGTTTACTACAAATAAGACATAGTACTATTTTATGAAGCCATTGTCATAAGAATAAACAAAAAAAAAGTTAAAATTTACATACAGAAATAGAAATCTATTCTACAGTATAACTACACAAATATGTAAGTATATATGTACAGAAATGTAGCCAGAATGGTCTGTAATAAAAATAGTTTTTCTATCAGTAATTCACAAATTACATTATGGGACATCAATATAATAGATTATTACATAGCTATTGACAAGAATGAGGCAGATCTACATGAACTGACAAGAAAAGATATTCAAAGTAGACTGTCAAACAAGAAAAATAATTCTGCCAGTTTCTATCATGGATTCTATTTGTTTAAAAAAAAAAACAAAAAGAGTAAGATAAACATGTACATTTTTTGGTACACAGTCAGTATTGCAAATTGGGACTTACCTGAAGTGTGGGTGCTTTGAGACTCTTTTGAGAAAGTTCTGGAAGAGAGAGTTCCCCTTTGCTATCTATTTGAAGCACCTAAAGTAGAAAAAGTAAACTATGGATCATTTTAGTATATTTAATTTCTATCTCCTTAGTACACTCAAAAGTTTTCTTGGTAGATATTAAACATTGAAAATTATACCCAGATCTAAAAATATATTTTTTAGCAATTACCTGCTTCAGTTTCTCCTCCTCTTCTTCTACCTGACTTGTCAGAATTTCAATTTTGTTCTTTAGGCTCTCAATACTTCCAGTCATTGACTCTATGGTCTCCACTATTTTATCTATTTCTTCCTGAGGCAGAAAGAGAAAGTTAATATCTTATGTTAATTATTAATATTTATTATTGATTTGTTTTAATACCTCTATTATTATATGTAACCCAAACATTCATATATATCTTTTTTTTAAAAGTTTTTTTTTAAATTAATTTATTTATACAAGCACTGGGTACAGTCAGAAGCACGGGAGGGTGAGAGAATTCACCAGAGCCAGAGCAGGGAACAGAACAGGCAGACTGACGAAATACACTTCTGAGGGGAGCAGTGGGTGCGGCAGGAGAGGTCTGTGCGCCATGTGGGACCCTCTCCAGTAGCCGGGGATCGAACCGGCACTGCAGAGGCTGCGGACAGCTTCGCAGCCCAGAGCTCAACTGCTGCGCCACCAGGGGAGGCTCCATATATATCTTTAAAACATTTTTTTACATATTTTTAAACACCTTATATCGAAAAACTTCCAAAGCTGCTAAAGAGAGCCTGGAAGACCCATGTAGATTTAGATGAACCTCAGGACTGATGGTAGCACATACAACAGATTCCTTTTTATAATTTAGAAATATTTGAATGCTGATATTTTCATTTGCCAAAATAAAGCAATACTGGGTATTAGGGCAGAAATAGTAATAGAAAATGAGTGGCAATTTCTCCCACAAGAGATGTAATTTATGGAAGAAAGAAAATAAGAAATGAATGAAATGAGTGCAGGAAATCAGGAATGTGCTGGTTGTAAGTCAAGTACAGAATTAGCCAGTTTCCAGGTTTTGGGTAATAAGTATGGAATTGCTTCCAAATCTCATCCTAGGAATAATCAGTGACAGAAAACGTGCTTGAGAATATGGGAACAAGTGAATAAGCTGCACAGAAGTCTTAAATCCTGCTAAGCTATAGTATCAATACTATATCTACAGTTTTCTCCAAAACTGGAAGCAGAATTGTTACTGGCAACTACAGTAATTTTCCTCAACAAATGATTTCTATTGATCATTAAAAACAAAGAAACAAGCAAACAAAAGAGGTACATTTTAAAGTTAAAATGTAAAACAAAAGCACAACAAAAAATTTTGCAACAGAAACCACATATAGTCCATAAAGTAAAATATTTGTGATCTGACTGTTTACATGAAGATTATGCTGAAAGCTGAGAACCTAAGGCTTTGGGACTGTGAGCCTCACTTAATAGGATGTAAACTCCAGGGAGGCAGAGGTTTTAATTTTTTATTATACTTTCAGTATTCTGGATTTTTGGCTATTCTAATAAGTGAGCATTAAGTTATTTTTTCATTTATGGTTTCCCACTCTTTTTTTTTCTTTTAGTTCCTTTTACTTTTGCAGGAAACTAGGTAGTTTGCTCTGTCAAATTTTCCACATCTAGAATTTTACCAAATGCATTTGTTGATCAAGAATAACCTATTTCTCAGACCTTTATTTCCTGAATTGGTTGTTGGATTTAGAGTGCTGTCCAATACAAAAATAATGTGAACCACATGTATTAATTTTCTGTGCCTACTAAACAAATTACCACAAACTTGGTGGCTTAAAACAACCAAATTTATTCTCTCACAGTTCTGGGGGGCAGTTGTTCTAAAGGCAAGGAGATGCTCTCTCTGTAGGCTCTAGGAAAGAAACCTGTCTTGCCCCCGCCAGCTTCTAATAACTGAGAATTGCTTATGGCTGCATCAATCTAATTTCTGCATGTCTTCCTCCTGGTCTTCTCCTTGTCTCTGTGTCTTGCACAAGGTCGTTTGTCATTGGATTTAGGGGCCTACCCACTTAGGATGGTCTCATCTCAAAATCTTTCACTTAATTAGATCTAGAAAAATTGTCTTGAATATAGTCACATTCAATTTCCAGGGATTAAGACTGAGACGTATCTTTTGAGAGAGCACATTTCAATGCACTACAAAAGGAAATGAAGTAAAATGAAATTAATACACTAAAGGCTAAAATGTTTCATTATAAATTAAAGAAATTTATTTTGTTCCATTACTTTCATTATCTTCTTTAGGTACTCCTACTATACCTGTGTCATATCTTATTTGCCATATTTTTAATTTTTTTTAAGATTTATTTATTTATTTATACAAGAACCGGGGTACCGGCCAGATGCACGGGAAGGTGAGAGGATTCACCAGAGAAAGAGTGGGTAACATAACAGGCAGACTGATGAAATACACTGCTGAGGGGAGCAGCGAGTGAGACAGGAGAGGTCTGCCGCGCCATGTGGGACCCTCACTGGCCGGCCGGGATTGAACTGGTGCTGTAGAGGCTGCGGACAGCTTCACAGTGCAGCGTTCAACCACCTGCGCCACCAGGGGAGGCCCTTATTTGCCATATTTTTATATTGGTCACTTTTTCTCAATACTTTTAAAATTATCTTTTAGATTCTTACACATTTTCATTTTTTATTTACTGTAAGCATTATCTGTTGTTTACTTGCTTTAGTGTGCTAATTTAGTGTGCCTAAAAGTTAAAATTAAAAAATTTTCTTGAATTCTTTATTTTTTAGTATTTCTAATACTAATTTATGATTATTTACCTATCTCTTACTCTTTTTTTAAATCCAGTTCACTTGAGAAATTAGTGTTCATCTGTATCGTCATTTATTTTTGGCATGATTTATTGCATATGGGAGTACTACTTTATGTCTGGTGAAAATTTATAAAGGATATCTTAGAGTGGGACAGGCTTGTAGAGGGTATTCTTATGTTCTATCACACATCCTCAATTACACCAAACAGAAGAAGTCAATTAAATGTCAGTTATGTTCCCCAGTAAGAAGGAAGATTGCCTTCTAACCCAGCAACAAGTTCAGTAAACAAGAAGTCATTGTTACCTGAACTTTATTTTATGATTCATGAACCAAGCAGCACCTCATATGGCAAGCAGAAAGAAACTTCAAGAGGTTATACAACATGGAAAACACTTTGAGAGACAGGAGGATAGGACAGGAACTCATGAGAAAGAGAAAAATGAAAGTTTATCAGATAGCAAGAGTTCAGGTGACAGTGCCTTCTCATTGGCTGAGCTGCAGTGTTTCCATTGGCTGGGCTTATATCTGGGCAAGGACATTTTCTTGTTGTGTCTGTGATGAGGGTTAACTGATTGATGTTCAATTGGCATATCTTTCAGTTTGGGGTAGCTGATGGGTAGTAGAGTGAGAGCTCCCTCTATAGGTCTTACCAAATTAAATTTCTGTTGAGATTTCCTATATTAACTTCCACAATAATAAATGGCAATAGTAAGTACAGTGCTTTCCTGAGTTCTGTGAGTTTCTCTCTCAAATTATGAAGCCCAAAGAGACCTGAGAAACCCCAATTTATACTTGGTTAGAAGTACATGAGGTTTGGATTTGAAGTCTGGAAGTGTAATATCTCTGGTTCTAACTCTTTTTTTTAATCAGGATTGCTTTAACTATTTGGGGTCTTTTGTGGTTCCATATAAATTCTAGTAGTGTTGTATTTCTTTTAAGAATGCCATTGAAACTTTGATAGGAAGTATACTGAATCTGTATATTCCTTTGAATAAGATGTCCATTTAACAATGTTAATTCTTCCAATCCATGAGCAGGGAAGATCTTTCCCTTTCTTTGGGACTTCTATTTATTTTAACAATGTCTTATAGTTTTCATTGTATATGTCTTTTGTTAAGTTTATTCCTAGTCATTTAATACTTTTTGATGTTATACTAAAGGGGATTATTTTCTTGATTACTTTCTCTTCTAGTTCTTTGCATATAAGAACACAAGTGATTTGTGTAGACTGATCTTGTAACTCATCTCTACTATACTGGTTTATTGTTTCTAACAATTTTTTTAGCAGAGTCCTTATTAGGGTTTTCCATGTATATTATCATGTCAAAAAGTAATATTTTTACTTCTTTCACAATTTGGATTTATATCTTTCTCAAATACTTTAAAATTTTATTTATAAGTTATATCTTAATCATATTAAAATAAGCTCTCTTAATGTCATCCCAAACTGTTCTTTCTACGGTAAAGTTAGTAAAGAAGTAAGGTTGGATGAAAACTAAATATCATCTCACACTATGAAGAAAGTGAGGCAACCACTAAAAAACACTCCTCCATTAATTTATATGTGAATTTGTTGTTCAGAAATTAATCCTACCAATGTAATTCAAATCATTAATAAAACTGAAATGAATTATTTGTGAATTTTAAATTGCTAGAATTTCCTGGGGATGCATTCCTTGATAAACTACCTTGCATTTACAGAATGCTTAACAAAAACCTAAGTACCACATCTACAAAGTACTTTGAAATGGATAAGGAATATACAGTCCAATTAGTTTTAGTTTTTTTGATTATTTACTAAGTCCCTAATAGTTGCTTTTCTTAATAATTCAAGTACCCTAAAATTAAAACTCTACAGATAATCATGGCAGCTAATGTTATCATGTTGTCCCTCATCACCTTATACAAAACAATGATTAATAACCATGTCCTGAAGTGAGGCTAACTACATTTGCATCTCAGTTTTAAGCAGTTCATTTAAAATTCAATTAGAAATGTTAGCGAGTCTCTTTTTCACAATTGTAAAGTGAGGTTAATATAGTACAGACCTTTATAAGTCATTGTGAGGTTTAAAGAATATATATATATATATAAAGTGCTCAGAATGTCTAGAACATAGAAAATACTTATTACGTGTTAGCTATAATGATAACAACAATGTCAATTGTGTAGTTCTTACCAATTAAGTACCATCTGCAGAATGGAAAGGCTAATAGGCTTTGAAATTCCATAGCATTTAATGACTAATTAATGTAATATGATAATCAAAAATGCTAACTTCAGTTATAGCTATACTCTAATGAGAAAAATAGGACAGAAAATTAATTAACATATTTGAAATACTTTTAACTATAATGGCCCAAAGTTCATGCAACATTTTGGCTTTGATTTAAAATAAAACAAAAAAAAAAAATAAAAAACCTGGTCTAACATCTAAAATAACTAGGAGAACATCTTGGGGCCTCCTTGGTGGTGCAGGGGTTAAAGACAGTGCTATCAAGCTGTTACCAGCCACTGCAGCACAAGTTCAATCCCTGGTCAGCCAGGAAGCTAACCCAAATGGTGCAGCAGAACTCTTCTGTCTCACCTGCTGCTCTCTTCAGCAGTGTATTTTAGTAGATGCCTGTTCTGCTCCTTACTCTCTTTGGTGAATCCTCTCACCCCCCACACCTCTAGCTTACAACCCAGTTCTTGTATGCATAAACAAATAAATCTTTAAAAAAATTAAAAATTAAAACAAACAAATAAACAAACAAAAACCTCTTGACTTCTTCCCTTTCCCCTCTCTAATTATGGACTACCTGTTCAAATTTCATACCTGCAACAATGCCAGACCTTCTTCATTAGCTTTGTGCTGTGTTCTTTCCATTTTCAGTAGATTTGACACATTAGTTAAATCTTTTACCTTTTGGGGAGGGACTTGCAGGGTTTCACACAGTTGGAGCAATCTTCAGGACAGAACAAAAAAAAATATTTGTTTAACTTTTAGTACCATTATTATTATTTTGTTTTGCTTTGAAATGCTGTTGTCATCTTTTTTTCTGCCCTCTTATACCCAAAGGCTATGCTATTCTTTTATTATCAGTAGCTAACCTTAGCACTGAGTCTCCCCAAAATAGTACTGACAGATATCATTTAACCTATTAATTTATTAAGATTTGCCTCAAATCATGGGACACTTAGATTGCTTTATAAAAATTTTAATTGTATATATTTACTAGACTAACACAGCACATCCATGTATCATTTACTATGAATTACTGAATAAGAGATGGAATACTACTCTATTAAAAGTCTTAACTGTGACCTCGTTTTAGAGAATGTAATCAATAACTGAGAATTTCTGTATCAGTTGCTCTACCTTAATGTTTTCCAAAAAAAAAAAAGTCACATAGTTTAAGGCAAATAAAACATTAAGATTAAAGTGCTCTGTTCTAAAGTGCTATCAACACAAAGAGTACTCAAGTTTAAAAAACTTCCTTCAAATTTGGATCAATTAAATCAACAAAAACTGACCTATTCACACGCTATATAACTGACAAGGGGTTAATGTCCAAAATATACAAACACCTCATACAATTCAATAATAGAAAAACAAACTACCCAGTTAATAAAAGAGTGGTAGACAGAAACAATTTACCAAAAAGGATATCCAAAAGGCCTATAAGACATGGTAAAAAGTTCAATATTGCTTCCAATTAGAGATGCACGCTGAAAATACAATGTGCTATCATACCCATCATAAAGAGGAATCCTAGTACCTATTGGTGGGAATATAAACTGGTGCAGCCATTATCAAAGTGATCTCAATTTATCTGAAACACAAAGCAAAACTGGAAATACCAACTGATTCAGCTACCCCACTGTTGGGTACTACCCAAAAAGCATAAACCATCAATGCAAAAAACTATATGATCTACAATGTTTAATGTAGTACTATTTATAACAGCTAAGATATGGAAGCAACTTATATCCATCAATCGATGACTGGATCAAGAATAGGCATATATAACCAAATTACAAAATACTACTCAGCTATAAGGAAAGATGAAATACAGCTATTTATGGCAAAATGGAGGGAGGTTGAGGGTATTATGTGTAGCAAAACAAGTCAGAATTACAAAGACAAATACAAGACATTTATATAGTGGATTATTTGACAAAATATTCACAAAAACTAGTAAACATTAATAAACATGGTAAAGGTTCTGAGGTTAAAGGGAAGGAAAAGAGAGAAAAGGAAAAAAGGATATGAAGGATCCTGGTGGAGAAAAAAATGAAAAAACAAAACAAAGACAAAGGTTGAACTGTTAATCTATGGTACTTGCAAACCAGGGGAGCCACTCAGCAATTAAAAAAAAAAAAAAAAGTACTACCAACACGAACAGTATTCAATATCAAAGTTAAACAATCATCTTAAAATTTAGGTTGATTGTATCAATAGGCACTGACCTATCACTGTCCTCACTTCTAGCAGAGACTAACCTATTTTCCCAGATTTGAGTTTTGAATTTGATGAGGCAGAAATAGAGGAGGAAAATCTATATTTGATTTCTTCCACTTAAACCATTTTTTTGGGTTCTAAGAAGTTCTAATATTTGGGATTTGTAGGCAATTTGAACACTACTGGAACCCAAGACTTATTTTTGTGGGATCTTATTCAAAATATTAATTTTTGTAAAGAAAAAGCAGACATTATAAATCCCACAAATTACAGTTTTCATGAAACTTTTGAGATAAACTTCAGTTATTCAGAAAATCATTACTAGGCCATCATAATGAAACATAAAAACCTGTGTGTATAAGTCTTCCCAAGAGGGATAAGGTTTTGATTTCTTAACTAAAATAAATGTTCCATTTATGAACAGTTTCTTCTAAAAACATATTAAAAGTCAATACTGTGGGTCATTCATATTCCACATGTTTTCAACAGTGGTCAGATTTTCAGAATTCTTAAAAAATCTTATTAAAGAAAAAGTGTGATATGTATACATGTTACTGTATCAACAACATCTAAATGACACATTGGTTGCTATAGGACAGAATTCCCAAAGTAGTTCCTCTGAAACTGTAGTCTTTTTTTATTTAACTAACAGTCCTATTTGTCTGATCATGGGGCTATGCATATGTTCCAGTTTAGCTCAAACATTACAGCTTTGCCAAAAAATCAGCTCAAAGATAGGCAAGCACATCACCTAATTTGGGTCAATCAAAGATCATCTCCCAGAATTTCAAAATGATGCTAAAAGGACAAGATTTTTCTTTCTCTTCTTTCTTTACAAGGCTGAAAAGAGAAACAGGGAGAGGGCTATGCCTACAGATCTAATGCAATGGGACAACTTGTCTAAAAGAATGAAGTTAAATGCAGACAGAAGCAGGGATGAGACTAATATATGAATATATGAAATAGAGAATCACTGTAGTAAATATCAATTTGAGATGCTAGGTTAAACAAAATAGATTTATTTACTCAGGACTTTAATAGGCTCATGTGTCCAAGCATAATTCATTATACATCACTTCTATTCAGAGAGTAACTATAAGAACAACTGTTCCAAATATACTTTGAGAGATGCAGTTATAGGAAAACTTATTCAGGGTTCCAATTAGCATCAGTTGTATTCTGCTATATCAAGAAAAAAGGAAATATCTTGGTATTGTTACTTTGGGAACATGAGAGTTTTGAAAGCAAAAATGAGAAGACAACATTTAGGTCTTCAAGTATATATCTCCATTGCTGCTACATGAACAAGAGACAGCATATATACTGATTAGAATTTGATCTTTCCTTCTCTCCTGATCACAGTGGGTGATCACTGTGAAGAATAGCTATTACAGATTGTAAAATTCTTACTCATAAACATGACTATTTATCCTGTATTAAAAAGAACTCTAAATAGCCATATTTTCATCACATTAGCTTATCAATTTTTTAGTGTTCCTTTTCCTCTACTATTAGGCTGTCATTCCCTTAAGTATTTTACAAATCTACTTCTAGCAGTCTTTCTTTAATCTCTCAACCTCTCTCTACAAACTCATATACCCCACACCTCTATGCCATGCCATCCCACTTTTTTCTATACTGCTGCTATGATGAGAATAGAATTATACTCAAAGAAAATGTAATAAGAATTTATTCCTAGACTTCTCTTCTTAGGCTTCTGAAGAATAACAGACTAGGTCATAAATATATCCAGAATGTTCTTAATATTCAGAACATTTTTCCATTAAGAAGACAAAGTTGTGCCAATATTAGAGAACAGCTGTCACTGAAAATCACTGGCAGTGGAGTGAATTTTAAGAGCACTTGAAAAGAAAGTTCCATTTGTGACTTGTTATAGATCTTGGGAAATCATACTTGTTATTTATGCAAACAATGTAATACAATATGAACAAAAGCAATAGGGTAGGGGTGATAAGCTGTCAACTTCAAATTATTCAAAATGAAGTTGAAGAGAGTTAAAGTTGAAATCCTTTTCAAATTTCAGTATGGAAGTCAACTATGGAAGTGTTTGTGATTTTCAGTTTCTTTATAAACTTAACTTACTTCATAATTGCACACAGCAGAAGTTTGGAATATGTATTTCCAAATTGTACATCATCTTTTTTTTTTTTTTTTAATTGAAGCAACATTGGTTTACATTGTTGGTATTTTGGAAGTACAGGATTCACTCCTCAGGTATCTATAGTAGTGCACCCTCCACTAAATCACCCATAATATACCACTTTAAAATAATAACAATGAAAAACCAAAACCCCAAAATTTATCTTCTACAAATGTATGTCCTGGCAATGTGTTAGAATTTCACAAATTATGTTTTAATTATTTTCTATTGATAATATGATTTACCTTGTCTTCAGGCAGTTAAGATGATAGTGAATTTGGTCATGTGTTTTACTATGGGTACTCAAAATTTCTCTAGATGTGAAAAAAAAAAAGGATTGAATAATTGTTAGTTTGAAACACAAATAATGTAACCTATTTTTTTCTCTGATTTTTTTTTAGGAGTTACTCCTTACTAACCCGGTAGATTTTTTCTTTTATGTTAAACACATTTTAAGTAGCGGTATAATGAAAGATTTAAATGCTCAACTTTCGCAATGGATTTCACTGTTTTTTTTTTTAAATTTTCTAGAGGCATGTCTTATTTATTTATTTATTATTTGTTTGTTTGTTTTTGGTTTATACATGCACTGGGTACAGTCAGAAGCGCGGGAGGGTGAGAGAACTCACCAGAGCCAGAGCAGGGAGCAGAGCAGGCAGAAGGACCGAAGTACACTGCTGAGGGGAGCAGCGGGCGGCAGGAGAGGTCTGCTCGCCATGTGGGACCCTCCTCCGGTGGCCAGGGAGCAGCCGGGGATGGAACCGGCGCCGCAGAGGCCGTGGGTAGCTTCGCAACCCAGCGCTCAACCGCTGCGCCACCGGGGAGGCCCGGATTTCACTGTTGATAACATAATTCTGTCTTATTTTCTTTGTAACCCTTCTTACATGTAGCTTCCATATTAAGTGTCAATTTGAATTCAGCATCTTCCTAAAGTATCCCCAGTGACAAAACAAGCTCAAATTTTAGAGAGCAGATCAAGCCTGAGATTTAAATTTTTATTTCACTGAGACTATGAAGTCTATCAGATGTTAATAAGGACATTTTTGCTGAAGGTGAATGCCATCAAAAGGCAATAATCTGAAATAACAAAACACGCTATCATAAAATAGGCAACATTTAAAAGGATAGATTCCTTGGGATGCCCTGGTGTCCTGGAGGGTGAGTCACAGGGCTGTCACTGCTGTGGCCTGGGGTTGATCCCCGGCCAGGGAGCTAATCCACATATGGTGCAGCAGAACCTCTCCTCTCTTTTCTGCTGCTCCCCTTGGCAGTATGTTTTGGTAGATCAACTGTTCTACTCCCCACTCTGTCTCTGGTGAGTCCTCTCACCCCCGCCCCTCTATGGTTCTACACAAAAATAAGTTAAAAAATAAATAAAAGGATAGATTCCATACTCACATAATTACTGGTTCCATCATGGTTTGCAAATGCTCTCTAGTACTCTTTGGAAAAGGCTGCCAGGTTTTTCTCCTGTTAGGTGCTATCTTTACCTGTTTTAGATTAGTATGGTCTGTCTGTCCTGTTTCTGGTGATTGAAAAAAGACTCCAGTCAATTTAGAAGTTTGTTTTCACTTTTAAAAGTAATTCAAATATATTTATCTAAAACAGCTAAGATTATGAGGACCAAAATATTATAAAGATGATAAACTGTTTAATTTCTTTTATTGCCTAGCTATAACATAACAGGTATTGCATATGGAAAGACCATCTAATATAGTGAAACATGACTAAAATATAGCTGATGTTGCAGATACAAACCCAAGACATTTAGATATTTCCTTTTTAAAAGTGAATCTGACCAATGGCTATAAATAAGGAATCAAGAGTAGAGGTAGAGTGAAGTTTAAGGAGAGATCATTTGCTAAAAGAGGGAAATTTGGTTAAAATGACGTCTTTCCAGGAGCTGGTATCCCATGCAGTCACAAGACTGAGTTAGTTTCCCAATACCAGCAAGCTGGAAGCTGGCAGTCTTCCATCACAGGTAAAAATTATCAATCACTGATTACTGAATATTGATTACTTAATCACATAATCTACCACTAAAGGTTTACTGAGTATGTATGTGTGGAACTTAATCAAATGGCCAAAGAAGCATAAAAATACAGAGTAGAAATTAAAGGTATGGGCTTTGGAGGATGAGAACTCAGGGTTTGCATCCCAGCTCTGCCACTCACCAGCTGTGTGACCTTGGACATGTGGTTTAACATCTCTGAACCTCAAGTCTCTCATAAGCAGCAATGGGTATACAATCATGCATCGGCTCAGCAAAGTAGCTGATATCAGGTAACCACTAAGTAAATGGCAGTTAATTTTATCATTCTTATGTTTTTTAAATTTTTTAAAAACTATGATTATCATGTACATTTCTAGTACTGATGTGTTTGCCCCTTTTGGCCTCCTTTCTCCCAATTCTCCCTCCCTCTTCTGATAACCATAAATCTGATCTCTTTTTCCAAGAGTGTGTTTCTAAGATTTTACATCTAAGATTATACAGTATTTGTCTTTCTCTGACTTATTTCATTGAGTATAATACCCTCAAATTCCATTCATGTTGTTTCAAATGGGAGGGTGTCCTTTTTTTATGGTGGACTACTTTATTGTGTGAATATGCGTGCGTGTGGGGGGGGTGTGTAATTTCTATTTTTATATATATATAAACATGCATATGTTATGTTCTGGCTACTATAAACAATTCTGCTATGACCATGGGGATGCAGATTCCTTTTTGAGTTAGTGTCTTCATTTACTATGGCTATATTCTCAGAAGTGGAATTGCTGAATCATATGGTAGTTCTAGTTTTAATTTTTTGAAGCTCCGCCATACTGTTTTCCATACTACAGCAGCAGTACCAATTTACAGTCCCACCAACAGTACATAAAGTTCCTCTTTTCTCCACAACCTTGCCAACATTTGTTGGCAAGATTTAATTTTAAGAGAAGAATCAAACTATATTAGGATTCTACAAATAAAGTTTGGTTCTCAGAAATGATCTGGATTAAAGAGCTTTGTTGAGAAGACTAGAAAACCACTTCTACCAAATGTGGGATGGCAAATGCAACAAAACAGATTAACTAAACTATAAATAAATATTCAGAATCTGCTAGGTTGCTACTGTTCTACTCACAAGGAATAAAGAAAGGACATATACTAATGAATGGCTCAGTAAAGATTAGTTTTGGAGAGAATGGAGATAAATTACAAGTTTATAAAACATTACAAAGGTATTAAGCAATATGAAAATAATAAACCAGGGAACCTAACTGATTTTGAGTGAGGGGCAGTAAGGAATCCACCCATGAAAAAGGTGATGTTTAAATAAAAAGTAAACAAATTTAGTCAAAACAAAATTAGATAGGGGTTCCATACTAATGTATACATTAATGGTAGAACATGTCTTTTGCCTTAAAGAGAAATCTGTTTAGTTGTCTATCATAGATCAGTAACAATTCAAAGTGTGGAACACACTAATTTTCTCTAGTTCTTATCAACTGACACACCAATACTACTTATTCTAGCATTGCAGTGAGATATGTGGATGTTTATTACTCTACCCTTTACTTTTGCAGAACTCAAAAACAAGATGCTGAGAATTTTTTTCATGAATATAGATAGCTTGGGAAAGACAGGTTAAACAAGATATACAAAAGAAATACCTTCAGAAGACAGATGCTTTTTATTTCTTTTCTTTGTGTTTCTAACCTGGAGGGAAAAATACATGTGCATGCACATAAAATTAAACATAAAAAGATATTGCTTTTGCAACAGTTGTAATACATGTTGAAGAATAGTTACAGACCTTCTAGTTAGATGGGAAAAAAGTATACTTTTTTCTTCTATAGAAAAAGGGTGTGCATTTATCACCAGGAGGGGATTTACTAAAGTAATTCCTGGATAATGGTTATAATGTATGACAGAATTTCATGTGGTGTCAAGAATGTTTTAAATAAATCATTATTTATTTTGCCGGTGAAATAATTCACCGGCAAAACAAATACAGACAATGCCAAAACACACAAAAAGGTTTTGATTAATTCATTTATTCTTTTATAAGAGGGGCAAAATTATGGCAGGAAGATGGTAATTCCTCCCAAACTATTTTTTTCTCCGAGTTAACAAATAGTCTATCTACCAATAGATGTCTTGTCTTTTAACTCATAAAAGTCATAAGCATTTATACTCTATTTCTAGACTTCCTGTTAAACAACTTAGCAACATTCCATGATTCCCACCTGCCCAAAGAGTTCTATGACCAGTCTTAGAAACTGAAGAAAACATGTTATTGAGAACTTTTACAAATCATGTTGCAACACTCCATAGAACAATATGAATTATTATAAATTGAGGGGAAATTGACCCATAGTTTTCATATACTCCTTTAACAAAAAACAGATGAAATTTCTAATCAGAGTTTTGAATGAATTTAAGTTTCATTACCTCTTTCTCTAAGAAATCCATTTCTTCATCATGAGTTTTCCGTTTTACATTTTTTTTTAACTGTTGAGATTTTTTCTTGGAAGTATTTGCTTTGCCAGGCATCTTGATGAAAACAAAACAATTATAACAGTGCCTCCAAAAAAAAATCTATAAAGATGAAAATGACACAAAAAATGTTAAGAAGTTGCAAAATATTTTATTAAAAAGACACCTATAAATGTTCCAAATTTGTTTCTAAAAAATCATAATAAAGTTTTTGAGATAGAGTGTTCTTTTAAATAGACATTTAAAAACAAGTAACTTTGGTTATAAGTAAATAAGGACGTCTAATTTGATTTCATTCCTAGAAATTTCTTTCTTTTGTATGGCTTTTAAAAAATCATGAAATCTTTTTCCCCCTACTGAAGCGCTGCCCGGCCTGCACTGCTCTGGCAAATCGCGGACAACTAGTGTTTGCGCCATAAAATGGGGTTTGTAAAAGTTGTCAAGAATAAGGCCTACTTCAAGAGATATCAAGTGAAATTTAGAAGGCCAGAGGGCAAAAGTGATTACTATGCTTGAAAACGCTTGGTAATCCAGGATAAAAATAAGTACAACACACCCAAATACAGGATGATAGTTCGGGTAACCAACAGAGATATCATTTGTCAGATTGCTTATGCCCGTATAGAAGGAGATAGGATAGTTTGTGCAGCTTATGCTCATGAACTCCCCAAGTATGGTGTGAAGGTTGGCCTGACAAATTATGCTGCAGCATATTGTACTGGCCTGCTGCTGGCCCGCAGGCGTCTCAATAGGTTTGGCATGGACAAGATCTATGAAGGCCAAGTAGAGGTGACTGGAGATGAATACAATGTGGAAAGCATCGATGGTCAGCCAGCCAGGTGCCTTTACTTGCTTTTTGGATGCTGGACTTGCCAGAACTACTACAGGGAATAAAGTTTTTGGGGCCCTGAAGGGAGCTGTGGATGGAGGCTTGTCTATTCCTCATAGTATCAAACGATTCCCTGGTTATGATTCAGAAAGCAAGAAATTCCATGCTGAAGTACATCATGGGAAGCACATCATGGGCCAGAATGTTGCAGATTACATGCGTTACTTAATGGAGGAAGATGAAGATGCTTATCAGAAACAATTCTCTCAGTACATAAAGAACAACGTTAATGCCAGACATGATGGAGGAGATGTATAAGAAAGCTCATGCTGCTATATGAGAGAATCGAGTCTATGAAAAGAAGCCGAAGAAAGAAGTTAAGAAGAGGTGGAACCATCCCAAGATGTCTCTTGCCCAGAAGAAAGATGGGGTAGCTCAGAAGGCAAGCTTCCTCAGAGCTCAGGAGCTGGCTGCTCAGAGCTAATAAGCCGAACCATTTTTTAATGGAGATTTTTTAAGACAATACAATAATAAAATTATTGACCCAGCAATGAAAAAAAAATCATGTAAAAATGCTTTTACATTTCTTACTTTATACGCCTCACACAATAGTATCTTCACATTTTATATTCAAGACAAAAGAAATATAAAGTGCTAAATTGTCTTATTGTTCATAGATAATGTTAATTTTATTAGCAATACTGAGTTTTTCTTATGTTAAGCCTAATGCATCTAACATTCAATTTATGCCTAAGGGGGAAGGAGGTGACTTTTAGGATTATGTATTTATGCTGATTAATTCAGGTAACAGTCTGACACTCAAAAGGATTTAGATGTAACTCTGGCTATGTGCATTGTGATAAGAGTTCCCACAAATTACAAAACAGACACAGAGGTGGGGATGGGAGAATGTCACTGACAAAATTTAGATGAATTTCCTTTCCCTATGAAGTCTCCTTTATGACCAAACTCATTTCTGATAAAAAGAACAGAGGAATAGGTTACATATTCTTGCATTAGACCAGGAGACAGTTTAGAAGTTAGGTACTGAATACAGCAGACACATATGTACACACACATCTGTGGTATGTACATTTTTTTCAGGCACATACAAAAATATTAACAGGTGATTAGTCACTGTTCTTTTTTAAAAATTTAAGTTAATTGTGTTAATATAGTTTAAATATATTTGCAGATTGAGAGTCAGACAATAAATGGGTTTCTTTGGGGGCAATGTTTTCATTGATACCTTGAGTTGAAGCAAGAAACCACAGTGCAGTTTCTCAATCTCAACGCTTAATATTTTGGATGGGTAACTCTTTGTTGAAGAAGGCTGTCCTGTGCACTGTAGGATGTTCAGCAGCATTCCTGGCCTCTACCCACTAGATGCCAGTACCTCTCCATTACTGCTCCACCTCCCCAAATTGTGACAACCCATATTGTCTCCATATGTTATCAAATGTCTCCTTATGTCAAATGGCCCGAGATTGAGAACCACTGCCAGGAGTGGGTCAGGGATGAGAATAAATTTCCCATGTTCCAAATCCTGGCTCTGCCATTTAAGTAGCTATATAGCCTTGCTGAAAGTTAATTTGCTCACTTTCCCCAGTGGTAAATGGACTAATAAAAGTACCAACACCAAGACTTTTGTAAAATTTTGTACAGAACACATCAAGTGTCTGGAATAATACTTGAACCACAGTAATAAATTAATAAATAGAAGCCATAATTTTCTATCACAATTGGGCTAGTGATATTTTGCCTTGTTATAGATCTTAAAGATCTATAGGAAATCAGAGCCCAGTTGTGAGTAGACACATATGAAAACAATTACTATATACAATATGATAAATACTATGAGACAAATGAGTAAATGTCTCAAGTCGTTGCTTTGGCGTAGAACTATACAATATTCAGAGAAAAAAGTAATTATCTGAACTACATTTTTAATTGTTTAGCCAGAAGGAAGGGGAATGAAATATTCGAGAGAAAACAACAAAGGCCTGATGGCAGCACAGCTTGAAATAAACCGATGTGAGGAGGAACAGTGAAGTTTAGCGAGATTCTTTACTGTAAGGGAGGAATGGAAAGAAGACAGACTGGAATAATTTGCAGCAAACAATATATCGCAGGTAGGAAACAGGGAAGTATCCCAGGCTGTTTTGTTTGCCGAAAGTGATGGAAAGAAGGATCTTAATCTAAAATTCATGAGGGCGAACAAGTGATACACAACGTTTGACAAAACACAAATACACACTATTTAAGCTTAGACAACTGACGCCGCCTCTGGAGAGCGACGATGCTGACCGCTGCAACCTAAAATCCAAAGTCACGAACCTCTAAAAATGCACTTCACCTTCGACTAGCTGCAGAAGAGATAAAGAAAGGAGGGTGAAGAGAACTAGGAAGGCGGTTAGAACCATGCGTGGATTCACGCCTTCTCCGCCTTTTTTTTTTTTTTAAAGATTTATTTATTCATGCATACAAGAACTGGGGTACAGGCCAGAAGTGTGGGGGGATGAGAGGATTTACCAGAGACATAGTGGGGAACAGAATAGGCAGAATGACCGAAATACACTGCTGAGGGAAGTGGGCGAGTTAGGAGGGGTCTGCTGCGCTATGTTGGTAGCTCCCTGGCCGGGGATGGCACTCGTGCTGCAGAGGCTGCGGACAGCTTCACAGTGCTGTGCTTAGCCCCTTGCGCCACGGGAGAGGCGGTTCCCCGCATCTTAAATAACTTCTGCCTGTGGTCCCAAAGAGCAGGGCTGTCCTGATTTCCCTCCCATCACGCTCCTCAAACACAAATCGCGGGGCGCGTACAAAATCCACCCCCCAAGCTGCCCCACAGGGCGGGGGGTTATGCGTTCTCTTTACTCACTTATAAATCATACAGCATCCTCCGGACCTCCGCGCTCAGAGCAATTCGCGCCCAAACATTCGAAAGCCGAGCAGACCCGGAAGAGGGCGGCTAGGGACCGGAAGCACTTGTGGCGAGCGGCGGAAAGCAAACAGGTGTTGACGTCATCAGGAGCGCGTCCCCTAGAGAGCCTGGGGATTGGCTGGCGCGAGGGCGGTGTCGGCCTACGCCTCCAGACTGGCTCGGCTGACTTTGGCGCTTGCCTGGTGGGACGTCCAGGTGTGTGGGCTTCTGACTTTGAGGGCTTGGGGTATCGAAATCCCGCCTTCTCCTGCCACAGCGGAGGCCCGACGACAGCCGGCTGGTGAGTAGGACTGTGGACGTGGAGGCACGTCGGCGTTTCAGGTTCCTCCTTTCCACTAGGTCCTCTCTTCACAGGCCCCTACTCTTGTCCTCCGAATCTCTGTCCTTTCCCTCCTGTCAACTTTCTCCTTTTTCACCTTCCTTACGGTGGCGGCTTCCCGTCCTTCTCTACCTTCCTTAGGTTTAGATTCTCCACCGACCTGTCACTTAAAGTGATGTTCTTGGGAATTGGGTAATAGGAGAGAAGTTGCTTGTAATGTCTCAGGGGCCATTTTGCCGTGTTTCCTGGCCACCCAAGCACCCGATGTTCTTCTAAGGCAGAGGTCACTTCTTGTAGGGTTCCAAAGGGGTGCTCTTGACGCCATAGCTGTTAGGCCTGGGCTACTGTTACTCTGAGGGTTTTCTAAAAGACGTGACGGGACTCAAAGTGATTTTCTGTATAAAAGTGGAGGTAAGGGTGAGAGGTGGAATAGGAAAGAAAGTTATAAATTGACATAAAACTATAAGTTACTTACTTGTTCTAAGTTTTATCTAGAAAGAGAGCACTCTTACAGAAACTTGAAACCCTGGATAATATATGTATGCAAAGTTTTAAATCACTTGACCATTTAAAAAAATTGTGCTTATGTTTATTTATGCTAATATTTAATTTGCATGCTCTATGTTGTCATCTCCAACTCAGATTGGCTGAATGTTAGAAGTGACTAGCCTTTCTTGAAGTATGACCACATGTAAGCAGTCAAAATATGATAGTGGCCTCCCTGATGGCGCAAGGGGTTAAACACAACCTATGAAGCTGTCCGCAGCCACTGCAGCACTAGTTCGATCCCCAGCCAGGGATTTACCCACATGGCACAGCAGACCTCTCCTGACTTGCCTGCTGCTCCCCTCAGCAGTGTATTTCAGTCAATCTGCCTGTTCTGTTTCCCACTGTATCTCTGGCGAATCCTCTCACCTCCCACACCTCTGGCCTGTACCCCAGGGCATGTGGGATGTGGGGGTGGAGTTCACTGCTCTTTAACACATTCTGATCTTCAATAACTTACTATCATTTCTTTGCATGTTGCTTTTTTGAGTGCTTGAAACCTCGCTTGATTCATTTTTCTGAAAAATTCAGAAATCCTGTTACCATAAACAGTAGTTGTGTTCTCATCTAAAAATGACATCTATTTCCAGTCTTGGGCCTCCCCGGTGGTGCAGCGGTTGAGCGCTGGGTTGCGAAGCTGCCCGCGGCCTCTACGACGCCGGTTCGATCCCCGGCTACTCCCCAGCTACTGGAGGAGGGTCCCACATGGCGCGCAGACCTCTCCTGCCACCCGCTGCTCCCCTCAGCAGTGTACTTCGGTCCTTCTGCCTGCTCTGCTCCCCGCTCTGGCTGTGGTGAATTCTCTCACCCTCCCGTGCTTCTGACTGTACCCAGTGCATGTATAAACAAGCAAAACAAACAAACAAACAAACAAATAAATAAATAAACATGCCTCTACTAAAAAAAATAAAAAAATAAAAAATAAAAAAAAAAATATTTCCAGTCTTTGCCAATTTGCCATGTGATTTGCAGAAGTCTTTTATATGTAGGGCTCTTTCCTATAATTTTTCCAGGTTTAGGAAAGCCCCACGAGTATTTTGTGTGAGGCGTGATCTTTCCTATCAACAATCTAGTCACAGGAAGTTTTCAAATTATCTTTTATATCATTACAACCCTAATGGTTCAATTATAACTTAATTATTTTCTCACCCAACTTTCAAGCTAGTGCATGTATTATATGGCTTACAAGAGGATAGATGACAAAAATCATAATAGTTTTTTTGAAAGTGGAAATTGTTTTTGTTGTATTTCTGTTTAGACTCTTAATGCACTTCTTAACTTAGTTGAACATACATTTGTGATTTTTTGTCCTCTTTCAATTTTTTTTTCTTTTTTTTTAAAGATTTATTTATTTATTTATACAAGCACTGGGTACAGTCAGAAGCACAGGAGAGTGAGAGAATTCACCAGAGCCAGAGCGGGGAGCAGAGCAGGCAGAAGGACCGAAGTACACTGCTGAGGGGAGCAGTGGGCGGCAGGAGAGGTCTGTGAGCCATGTGGGACCTTCTTCCGGTGGCCAGGGAGCAGCTGGGGATCGAACTGGAGCTGCAGAGGCTGCTGGCAGCTTCGCAACCCAGCGCTCAACCGCTGCGCCACTGGGGAGGCCCTTTCAATGTTTTAAGCCTGTCTCTTTTTTAAAGAAACTCCATAACATATTTAAAATTTTCACTCATGTATAGTGTACTCAGATAAATGCACACATCAAAATTGCAAATTTCGACAGATTTCCACAAACTGAACATATCTATAGGATCAGCATTTCTATGTCACCCCAAAACTCCTCCCTTGTTGCTTTTCTGTACTAAGTTTTTTCATTACAAATAAAATGATAGGAAACGTGGACTTTATGTAATCACTATCCAAGGAGTGATGTTCCTCCATTGAATGACATAATCATTTCTGAAACTTTTGTACATATTGCCAATTTGCTTTCTGAAGTAGTTTAAATAGTTTGTACTCCTGCCAGTGGTTTATGTCTTATTTCCAAACTGCCTAACAAATGATGAGTGTTATTATTTTCTTCATTGAATTGATAGGTAAGATAGTATGGAGAATTGAATGTTAAGCTCACTTGTTGTTTTATCTATTATAAAACAATATAGCATGATGAATATATTAATGAAATTAGCATATTAAAAATACTACCTTATATGTTGACTAACAAGTATTTGGTAATTCAAGTGAATACTTTACTGCTTTGTTGTATGGAATTTTGATCAAGCTACTTTATTTCTCTGCTTCTTAATTTCTATATCTCTAAAATCATTTAATTAAACTGTGTCACCTAGTATAAGACTCTGTCAGTTATCAGAAATAGACAACTCTAATGTTGGAACACTTTATAGACTAGCTGAAAAGAAATGCACATATTTGTGTACTCACACATACACACGTATATATGTATATAATTTTATATATATGGGCCCCCCTGGTGGCACAAGGGGTTAAAATGCAACCTATGAAGCTTGCCGCAGCCACTGCAGCAAGAGTTCCATCCCCAGCCAGGGAGCTACCCACATGGCGCAGTAGACCTCTCCTCTCTCTCCCGCTGCTTCCCTCAGCAGTGTATTTTAGTCGATCTGCCTGTTCTGTTTCCCACTCTGCCTCTGGTGAATCTTCTCACCCCCCCCAACTCTGGCCTGTACCCCAGTTCTTGTATGTTTAGATAAATAAATCTTAAAAAAATAATTTTATATATAGGTATTTTATGTAAACATAAAATATGAATGCAAACATAAAATATGGATGCATGTATTTTATGCTAAACATCAAAAATAGTCTTCTGTATGTTGTCATGTAGGAAATGATAGATGATAGATGTTTAAACAGGGACACAGAGTGTTGTAGATTACAGAAGAGGTCATTAGCCCAGCTTGTGGCTTCAAGGAGAGACTGTGAGTATATTAGTTAAACATAAGAACTTTGAAACCTGGCTCTCAGGTTCAAAACTGCCTCTTCTCTGCTTTGGTTTCCTCATAGGTAAAATGGGGATAATAGTATCTATCTCTTGGTGTTGTGAGGAATAAAATTACTATTATATGTAAAGTTCTTAGAACAATGCCTGTCACATAGAAAATGCTGTAGACTGAGGATGATGTCTTAGCCTAATTAAACAAAGAAAATCATAGGGAGATGGAAGAGCAAGTCATATAGCTTTCACATATGTAAATAACTGTAGTTAATCTGAAACAGGGCTCCTCAGAGGAGGCCAAAGCCAAACCAAGGGGTATAACTACTATAGAGCACCAAATGTTTAGAATACAAAGACAGAAATGAGTCTAAGAGGTAAGGAGGAATCAGGTCATTGAGGTCTTGAATACCAATTTGTCTTGTGATCACTTTTTTCCCCAGCATGCACACAGTCCTGTTATAAAGTAGGTATTAAAAACCTTCTGAATGAAAAAAATCAATGAGTAGGATGCTATATCTTCTGTATGAATGAGAACCTTTGAAAAATCAGAACTAAAACAACATGATAGTTTTCTTTGGTATGATTGTGTAAAGTGGTTATGGGGAGCCAAGAATGGTCAGTGTAACCAGCTAAGAGGTGTTGAAGACTACAATTAGAACAGTGATACTAGTTGTGGAGAAGTTGGGCTAATATTATGAACTATCAGGAACAGGAAACAGGAAAGAAGAGGTGAAATCACACTAATATCTTCTTTCTTCTTTTTTCCCCTTTTCACCAATAGCTCCCATTTTCTTCTCTTATAAATACATACGCACTGTGCTTTTTCCCTAGGTCAATTCTTGTTCCTGTTGGGTATTTTCCATGCTCCATCATGTTGAGGGCTAAGACTCGGCTTTTTTTGCTTTCACCTCATCACCTGAAGCAGCTGAAAGAATCATCCAGCTCCAGGCTTATATGGCAGCGACTTCTACACCAGCAACAACCTCTTCATCCAGAATGGGCTGCCCTTGCTAAAAAGCAGCTGAAAGGCAAAAACCCAGAAGACCTAATATGGCACACTCCAGAGGGAATCTCCATAAAGCCTTTATATTCCAGCAGAGATACCAAGGATTTACCTGAAGAACTTCCAGGGGTGAAGCCGTTCACACGTGGACCGTATCCCACCATGTATACCTTTAGGCCCTGGACCATCCGCCAGTATGCTGGATTTAGTACTGTGGAAGAGAGCAATAAATTCTATAAGGACAATAT